GGCTTAAGTGAACTTTTAATTGTAAAACCGAAAGAACGCAAGAGTATCTACTGATTGAGTATTGCACAGAATTCAAAGCTAACAGAGAGCCTGCACGTTGATATTATTTCTCAAGGCGGATTCAGGGGCTGATGATGCTCCTCAATCTAGAGCGCTTGACTAGCAGGCACATGCTTTGGGTTCAACCCTCCGGCATCAGAATAAAAGAAAAAATAATTACACTAAATGTGGGGCAAGTGAGGTGTGAGACCATGGGAACCAGCCTGGAGCAAGAGTGAGACTTGTCCAAACCCTGAAAGTCTCATCCTAAGACAGGCAGGAGTAAGGATCACCCCTCCCTCTTCTGGGCCTGTGTGTAGATGCATATAGTCTTTCGACCTCCACCTCCACCACCCTTGAAGTAGCCATGCAGCCTGGTGACCAGATTCAGGATAAAGCTTCTTATTTCCTTATAAGGACATGTCCAGCTAGCACCTGGAATTCCTCTCCATGCAAATGAAGCTTTCCCACACACCTCAGCCCCAGCCAATGATGTCCTCACCCTGAAAACACACACCCACTTCCCAAGGTTTATTAACCCTTATTCCCTAAACCATCTTGGAGAAGCCCCCCACCTCCCCTAGACCAAGATTCTGCTAACCCACCTGCCTGGCTGAGCATCATCCCTTCAAGGGCAGCATCTGGGCACTACAGTGCCTGGACCACCCGAGGCCAGAAGCAGAACTCAGCCAGGCTGGCAACCAAAAACTAAATGGATAGATAAAAAGCTGAATCCAAGAAAGACATTCTGAGCACTGCAGTATTAATGTTAAACTCTACACTGTCAACATTTTTCCCCAAAAGAACGTAAGGAATTCCCATTTTCGTAGCTTTAAAGAATTAAACCTATTATGTAAACATTAAGAATGTTGTATTCTCATTAACTTAGGCTGTCCAAAGAGAGTATCCACACCAACAGCTTTCCAGGTCCCTTCTTCCTCACATTATAACATTTCTTCCTCACATTCCTCACATTATAACAAGTGCAGTTGGAACACAGAGCCCACCTGAGATCCGCCCGGTACAGCTTGGAACAGTGAGAGGGAGAGTCCAGAAACTCCTCCTCCTCAGCCCGATCCAAAGCCCAGGCCAGATTGGTTTCCAGATACTTCTGAAGAGAAGCAGAGGAAGCCAAGGACCCAGCTTTGCTTCCTGTTGCTGTGATAAGCACCACGACAAAATCAGTTTAGAAGAAGCAAGGGTCCCCTCGGCTTACACTGTCGGTTAATGGTCCATTTTTGAAGGACGTCAAGGCAAGAATCTGGAGGCCAAAAGGCTGGTGCAGAGGCCACGGAGGGGCACAGTTTACCAGTTTGCCCCGTGGCTTCTGCTCGGCTCTCCACAGTCCCATCCTGGATGCTGCGCCCTCCCACAACAATCATCAGCAGGGCCCGTCCAGATCCTGGGGGCTGAGGCAGGAGGACTGTTGTAACTTCTAGTCAGCCTGAGTACACAGTGAGTTGTCGGCTAACCTAGGTGAAAGGTTAAACCTTGTCGTAAGTCAAAAGTGGTGTTGGGGAGATATGTTTGCATGTATAAGTGCTTCTATGTATGGCCAGAGATTAACACCAGGGTGTCTTCCTCAACAACATTTTTTTTTTTTTGTGACAGACTGTCTCACTAACCCTGGAGCTCCCCATTTCAGCCAGAATGGCTGGCCAGAGAGCCCCCCTGGATCCACCTGTCCCTGATCTGAACTCCGGTCCTCAGTTTACCCACTTAGTCATCTTTCCAGCCCCCATGCAAACTTCTAAAATATGACTTTCCTGATGAAGCCCACGTAACGAACCTCCTTTTTGCTTTTGACTCTCACTGCTGTCGTTTGTAGCTGGAGTGAGCCCCAAGGGCCTGAATGTTAAGATCCTCGGCCCACAGTGCTGCGGAGAAGTGGTGGAGTCCACTTTCAAGAGGTGAAATCCTGTGGGCGGTGACGAGGTCAAGCCCTTCTCTCAGCCGGTGTGTGCACCCTGGTCCCTTTTTGTTTCTTTTCCTTTTCCTCCCCCTGCAACAGCAGTTTTCAACCTGTAGGTCATGACCCCTGGGGGGGGGGGTTGTCAAACGACCCTTTCACAGGAGTCACCTAAGACCGTCTTGCATATCAGACATTTACATCACAGTTCATGACAGTAGCAAAATCACAGTTACCAAATAGCGATGAGAATAATTTTACGGTTGCGGGGGATCACCACAACATGAGGAACTGTATTAAAGGGTCCCAGCCTTAGGAGGGTTGAGAACCACGGCTCTAACAAGGTGAGCAGTCTGACACCCCCTCAGGCTCCTTCTGGGATGTAGGGCCACAGGCTGAAGCTACACAGCCAACCCGGTTAGATTGAACACACCCTCTAAAAGGGTAAGACTTTAACCCCTTTCTCTTTAAGACTCGATGATTGCAGGTAAGCCTGTTTGTTTGTGGGGTATAAAGCTAACCGATTCACTTTTGGAAAAGCGCTACAGTGGTTTGTTTGTTTCACAGGCTTCCGTCAATACTTGGGTATTGAAAAACATTGTCTTGAGCTTGGAGGTAGAGTGCATGCTTAGCACGTGTTGAGGCCCTGGATCCAATCCACAGGGACAGGAAGGGAGACAGGAGCCATCCCATTTTGGAGGCCATTCATCAGCAACCGTCTTTGGTTTCTTTTAGTTGTTCACTTAAGTAGCCTAAGGTCTTTCATCATATAAAGCCCCTCCCCCATCTCATTTTCATCCATGTCTTTTGCATAACAGATCCCCGGCCCCTCACTCTGCTGTCCTTCAGATGATGTACCCCCAGGACAGTTGTCTCCCCACAGTGCCCTTTTGCTGCTGCCTGCTGGCCTGCAGCCTCTTACCATAATTCTGCACTGTATAACACCAGAGACTGATGTCACCCACATGGAGGGCACACACCTTCAGAGAGCCCTTGAGTCTGCCTCAGATTTAACACATTAAACATCTCAGGACATTTAAGGTTTATAATTTTGGTCAAAACTGTAGCTCCAGGTCAAATATGTGTTTTTAAGAGCAAATAACATGGTTCTTAATAAGCTTTTTTAATCACATGGTAAGATCGATGCCTTTTTTTAAGGGTGTCAACAACAACAGAATGAGCCATACAAACACAGCCATTGGTCTATAAATTAAGAAAAGAAAATACTGCTGCACAAGTAGCTTTCTATTTATGCATGGTGAATACTGTTTTATTTTATTTTAAAAAAATCCTACAAATAAAATATTTTCAGGCATGAAAACTCCAAGCCATTACTAGAAAAGGCACTGAGCACTATTTTCACTTTGTAACTCCAAACTATGACTTTGTAATAAACCATCATCTACAAACTCTTGAGTTTTCTGATGGCTTATTCTGGAATCGTGTCTAAAACAAACAACTTATTTTTCTCTTGGCTCTTTTAAAGAAGTTTTTACTAAGTTGAGGGTGTAAGTTTCAGAATATAATACACACTGCCAAATTCTCTAATTCCTTTTACAAAAATGTCATTCAGGGTGTGGTGCATTTAGGGATTTTTTTTTTTTTTAACTTGTAATTCCTGTTAAGGTTTTCAAAAAATTTCCAGCTTATAAAAAAAAAAAAAAAAAAAAAAAGCCAAGGTAGGGAGGGGCTAGAGAAATGGCTCAGCTATTAAGATTCCCAGCTACTCTTGTAGAGGACCAGGGTTCAATTCCCAGCGCCCCCATAGTGGCTCACAACTGGTTGTAATTCCAGTTCCAGGAGATCTGATACCCTTTTCTGGCCTCTGTGCACACACACAGTGAACAGATATACATGCAAGCAAAACACCCATACGCATAAAATAGATAAATTAATTAAAAATTATTCTAAATGCTATGGCAATATAACTCTGAAAAGGGTTCTGGTTCCTAGACAGGTCCTCGGGTTTTCCAATCTTTAGACTATCGCCTGTAGTCATAGTTATTTGCTTGCCAGAGTGTTACGTTCTTACGTTACAAACTCATTATTAGAAATTAAGTCTTTTATTATTAAAAGTATTTATTTAGTGGTGTGTGTGTGTGTGTGTGTACCCACAGAGGCCAGAAAAGGCTATTAAGTTCCAGGGAGCTTTAGTTACAGCTACTTTACGTGGATGCTGGAAAGGAAGTTGAGTCCTCTGAAAGAGCAACAAGTACTCTTGTCCTGTGTCCCTTCAGTCCCAGAGTCGAGTCTTGATAAGTACTGCCTTGGCTTTTTTCTTTTCACGAAGGTGAACATAATTTAAAAAGACCAGTATTGAGAAAACCTCAACGTTAAGTTGATCTGCCACGAGTGTCAAGTGCATTCTGCTCTTCTCCGTCTTTTATGACTCTCTGGCGACGACGTGCCACACACACACACACACACACACACACACACACACAACACAAAGGCATGAAATTTTTCTGACGTTAAGTAAAGCCTCGATGCCGCGAGGCTAGAACTGTTCTCCCGGGCGAAATAAAGTGTGTAAAACTTAACTCAGATTAAGCTTCCTTTTCCGGTCGCTGGGGGAAACTCTTCACATAATAGACATGCCTGCAGAGAAACGGCATTTTCGGACTCTAACGTGGGTGGTGAGATGGAGAGGACATGACATTTAACGACAAGGCGCTCACAAATGGCTCGCTCGCTTGGAAACGCGTGTCGGAATCTGCCCACAGAACTACCTCTCTGGCCATTGTTGCTCTCCAGCGAACCCAGGCTCAGGGGCGCGTGGTGTATCTGAAGCAAGAGTTAAGGGCTGCAAGTCCACCATGGAAGGACCCCTCGGGGGTGGGTGCCGTTCCGAGAAGACAAAGGAGAAGCCGGGTTCCCCGGGCAGGCCCGGTGCGCTGCACTTACAAGCAGCTGCCCCCACCCCGGAGAGTCAAGCCTGGCCCTGGGTACCGCTGGCCGGGGCTCCCTCCGCCCCCCCCCGCCCCCCATCCCGCGGCCGCCCGGGGGACAGGCCTCGGCCCCTCCCGCCGGAGAACAAACGGGACATTCAGCCGCCGCCCGCGGCTGCCAGGGCGCGTCCCCCTTGGGAAATTAGGCGTGGAGTCGGGGCCCCCGGTCGCCTTCAAAAAGCGGTCCTCCCGCCCGCCGCGGCGCACTCCGTAACCTGGCTGCGGGCGCCGGGCGGGATGCCGCAGTGAGCCGCCGGCCATGGGGGGCGCGAGCGCCTGCATCCCGCTCTGCCTGCTGCTGCTGCTGCTGCTGCTGGCCGCGGCGCAGCGGGCCCGGCCGCAGAGCCCGGAGAGGTAACGCCCTCCCCCGCCCTTCCCCGCGCCCAGGACCCCGCACGGGGGCTGCCCTGCTCCCCCCCAACCCTCCCGACCCCCCGAGCGGTGGCCCGGCCGTCCCCGGGCCACCACCACGTGGCGCGGCTCGCCTCCCCGCGGTTCGTGTGCCTGTGCCGGGGGAGGACACCGGCGCTCGCCTGTGCGCCCTCCTCTTCCCTGCTCGCTCCTTCCGAGCCTCAGCCAATCTAAGGCGCAGCCCCGGAGCTGGTCTTCGAAGTGACCCCTGACTAACCTCCGAGTGCCTGGGCGGAGGCACCTACGGGGTGGCTAGCTCCCCGCATCACCTCCAGCAGCGCCTGCCTCCCCTTTTCCTGGGGCGCGGGGAGGGGAGCGCCGAGAAACCCAAGTTTCCCCCCCCCCCCCCCGAAAAGGGGAGAAAACAAGGCCCGTCTCCAAACCCGAAGACAAACTTTATCTTCACCAAGTCTTTCAAACCGCGCGGCTCTTCCAGCGCGGCTCTCGCCGCCTCTCCCCCTCTCTCCAGTTAAACCACTCCGTTTTTATACAGCGCTCTGAGTGGAGTATTTTCCTGTCTGTGCACATACATGACCTGTCTTGACTTGATGATGAATTTGGGCTGCTGGGTTATCGGGCTATAATTTATATACTCTAAGAGCCGGCAAACTTTCAGATCTTTTATCGAGGGCAAGATTTTGTTAAACATTATTGACTCCGTTCATATCAGCGCGCATACCCCTCTTGAAGCTAACATGAGATTGCAAGGCCACGTCTCAATGTAAGTGTTCTCTCCTCTTTTATTTCCCCAGACCTGTTTTCACATGTGGCGGCATTCTTACCGGAGAGTCTGGATTTATTGGCAGTGAAGGTTTTCCTGGAATGTACCCTCCAAATAGCAAATGTACTTGGAAAATCACAGTAAGCACTTATTTTAAAGGTCTTCTGGGCGTGGGTACTGGAAACAGCGCACATAGGTGCCATTTCCCTCTGGTGTCAGGATTTGGGATAGACGCAATGCCTGAAAACGTGAAATGTTGGACTTACTTCAACTATTTGAGAGGTTTTTATTAAGAGATCTGGTCGTGTCCTGCAATAGTGATTAGAAAGGGCTCAAGAGGATAGTTGCAGAAAAAAAAAAAACCTGCAAGCAGATGTTTCTGAAAACTCTGGCCTAGCTTAATTTAGTTTTATGGATTCATGATTAAGGCTGCTTTCAGTCGGAGGTCTGTTGTAAGCACTGTTGAAAAGTCAGATGCTGCTCGTGCCTACATAAATCCTCGTGGGAAATAAAAGATCAAAGTAGTTTCGATGACTTCCTACCCAGGAGAAAAAGAACAACAGTTACCACCAAGATCCCTGCTTAGGAACCGCCAGGAAAGACGATGTAAGAACGGAGGATGCCAATGGCGAGGGCTTGATAAAATGCCCGCGGTGGTCACTGCTGGCTGTATCAGCAGGAGTCAAGGCAGGAAACCACGTATAGACACAACTAACGTAAATGAAAGTCTGGATTTTGAGTCAGCTGATCTGAGTCATGTTTCCAGTCACCGCTGCTGTCACTCTTGTTGCTATCTTCATGCCGTGCCCCTTGGGAGGTTATTTGGTAATAAAAAAAAAAAGTTCATTTAGTCAGGGCGTGTCACCCACCAGCTATGAATTGTTGTGCGTGTGTGTTTTGTGTTGCCCTGGATCGAACCCTGCGCTGCCGCTGAGCTACACACTCAGCCCCAGATCATGTTTTAAGTACTGGGTGCCAAGGCCTTAACTGTGCCAAGTGATTAGCAAGCATCTCACTGAATCTGCAGAATCATTCTGGGTATTATTTTTCCTGCTTTATAGATAGGAAAGCTGAGGCCAAACAGAATTACGTACAGGCATTGTAGTTTCGCTGCAACTTTACCTGTAGTGGAGACCCCAGTTTGGCAGGCGGATTTGGGAGAAGGAACCCCTCCATGCTATAAAACTTGGCTTTTTGTGTGTGCAATAATGCCCTCTTGCAAAATTATGTGAATGGGTACAGATTTCATTCTGCTATTGCAGCCCATGGAGCTAGGGGAGAATAAGTTCCAGAAATAGCTTTGAAATACTGATATTAGTAAGTGCACAATAAGGCTGGGAAACAAATGTAAAGTGAGTTGGTTTTATAGTTTTATATTATAGCTGTGGTTTCATTGTGACTCTGTGGTTGCAAGTTCAAAACCATCCAAGAGGCAGCGCAGGCCCAGCAAGCCAAAAATTCATGATCAGTTGTGTACTGGGGGGATTTAGTAGTCCATCACTGAGCCTTCAGACTCTAACTAGGGAAGGGTGTGTCCAGGGGAGGCGTCTCTGAACCAGGGAGGGCTTTGCCTCAAAGGAGGTGCAGTTGCCAAAACAAAGGCAGAGGGGTGGGTATGGAGTGTTAAGGGGTGGGGAGGTAGTTTAATTGCTTTAAGAACAGCTTGTGGAAGCCGGTGTGTATCTGGGACAAACGAACAAAGGCGTAGTCTGGAGAGGAAACTGAAGCCAACCTGAAAGCCAGAGTAGTGAGTCTTGTATTTAAAGAGGCGTGTGTGTGTGTGTGTGTGTGTGTGTGTGTGTGTGTGTGTGTTGGGGGTGGGGGGTGGGAGGGTATAATTAGGATGCTGTTAAGGATCCAGGAGAAGATGGAGTGACTAGAGTACTAGCAACAGAGATGAAGAAGGTCGGCAGCTTCCGCCTTCAGGTGAATCTTAGGCAGATGTACATGCAGTCAGGCTTCGTGGCACCTGCCGAGAGGCCCATATGCTAGCCTGACTCTTCTGTGGCTCCTCTCCTGGATGGGGGTGTCCTCTTCTGGGACTTTACCCAAGACAGTCTAGAGAGACTTTCACAAAGCCAGTTGTGTTAGACAGGGTTCCCTAAAGGAACAGAACCAATAGTGAGTGAGTGTGTGTGTGTGCGCGCGCGCGCGCGCGCGCGTGTGTGTGTGTGTGCACGCGTGTGCGAGCTTGTAAACTACAAAGTGACCTATTAGACTGATGGGCTATATTAGACCACGGGGGGCTGGGGAGTCCCTCAATGCCTGTCAGCATGATGGAGAGGCAAGAGGACTCAGAAAGCACTCTGTCAACGAAGCCAGACATGTCAGCAGCTTCAATCTGGCACTGAAAGCCTGGCAGCTCCCTGGAGAGCAGCCTCTGGACAACTGAGGCACATTCCCAGCCTCTAAGTCTAGTATTTTAAATTTTATAGCAACTTCTTGGGTGATAGCACTGTTCAACACTGTCGTCACGGATTATTCAAGTTAGTTAACTTGCATTTCCTAATCACAGTAGCCACCTTTCAAGCGCTCAATAGCTTTGTTTGTGTGTGTGTATGTATGTATGTATGTATGTATGTATGTATGTATGTATGTATGTGTGTGTGTGTGTCTGTGTCCTTTGGACAGTTCTAGAGAATTTTAGGGATTGGCTTCCCTTGTGTACAGACATACTGAGACTGGAAATGTCCCAGGCTGCTTAGTTATACTTCTGCCTTGTCAGTGGGGAAGCTGATATTAGGCCTCCATAGTGGATGACTTAATCCTGGTGACTCAACCTTATCGTTCTGACCATCAGCTTGTGGTGGCCTTAGCTGACTAGGTTTTAGTAATTAATTTGGCTGAGCATGTTCTTTAAAAGGACACGGCTAGACATTAAATCAGAGGATTTGAGGGTTATGAAACTGGTCAGTATTGCGTAATCTGCGATGAGACCCAGTGTTTCGTAACTTTCTGTAGTGTTAAGGTCTCCAGGAAGTTAACCACCCAGACGTCTGCTTGTAGTCCTTATGATTGTGGTAGGGACAAGAATTGAGCATGATTCAACAACTAAGGTCCTTTGGAAAGTAGAAATCGATCTTCCAAGCAGATGTGAAACAACAGGTTGGGGTATGGCTGACGTCTCCCTGGGTGATTGACGCATGAGAACCATGGGCCAAAGCCCCTGCAGCAAAAGATGAAACTCCAGACCTTGGCACACTCCCATCACGCTTATTTCCAGTACTCTTTTGAGACGATGTGCAGGGGATTATGGGAGGCATCTGAGAGCCTCAAAGAAAGTGGAAGGCGAGCCGTGGACCTGTCAGCAAGAACTCAGCCGGTGTGGAGAACTCCAGTGGTTCACTAGACCATTTACAGCATTCTCGGAGGTGAGCCCGATGACGTCAGAAGGGACGGGAACGTGAAGACGACGCTGGGGTGTGAGCCTACATCTGAGTGGCCCGTGAGATAAAGCCCACCAGACTCCTTGCGGGTCTAGCCCTTCTGCACCCCTGGCATCCAGATTGCCAGCCCATTAGTAGCTTCAGGATAATTTCGGCGCAAACTTGGACAATCTCTGGTGCATTGTTTCTTGCCGTTTTCGCCCATTACATGTTTATTTTATAATTTCCATAATAGAATTCAAGATGCCACTTGATGGATTTAAAACACTTTCGCTCTTTTGTGGAAAAATCGACTGTAAAAGTGGCTTCTTCACAGTTTGACTTGAGGAGGAACGAGCATGGGTAGCCAGAGAGTACTGCGGAAACTTTGCTTAGAGAAACTTTAAATGACAGGAACCTTGAAGCCCACAGCCTTCTGGGAAATCAGGAACATATATAGAAATGGTTGCTTAAGATCAGCTCCTGAACTTAAAATCTAGCGGAGGATTGGAATGTGTAAAGGAGACGGTGTTACTGATTTAACAATGGGTCTGCAGAGATGGACAAAAATTATTTTATTCTTGGGTTTTAAGCTGAACACAATTAACACATCGGTTTAAAATAGAAAGGTCCATGTGTGGGAACCAGTTCCTACTCACCATTCGTATTATTTGTAATGGCCTCGTTTATAAAAAATATTAATTTTTAATTTAATTAATTATTAATTTCAGCGTGAGGGTTGGGGGAAAAAACCAGTTTACTTGTGTTACTTCTGCTGAAAGACCCTCAATTGTCCAGCAGTTGCATGCACTGTGGATTCATACGCTTTATTCCACCCAGCTAACATTTAATATTCCTAATTTAATTTAATTTCATAAATTAATATCATCATGATGATATTTTAATATCATAGTTGATTATCATGATGCTAATTTAATATCATCATGCTAGTAAGATGATAATGTATAGTTTTCAGCTTACCTTCACATATCTTGAACTGTTTTATCTCTGAGCTGGGTGAGGCAAGCGTTAGTTTTCCCCTTTCACAGGGAGAAACGGCTATCTGAGGCCCTTGTGTTAGATTTTAGCTGGTTGTGGGTGCTATCACATGTAAACCCGGAGGTAGGAGGATTGCTGTAAATTGGGGATCAGCCTGGTCTATATAGTGAGAGATCAATCTATCTATCTAGATAAATAGATAGACATTATAGATACATACAACATATATACCATATCAAACTAATTATCATATATGATATATATACTTAACTATATACGCATCATTATATATGTGGTTGTGTATATTTTATATATGGTATATATGTGGTATGTATATCACCATACAGACCAGATTGATCTTTGGTCTATATAGTTTATAGACAATATAGACAGTGATCCTCCTACCTGTGGGATTACAGGTATCAGCAACCACACACACACACACACACACACACACACACACACACACACATATATATATATATCATATTAACTAAAACTTGCATCTTGCCTAATACCATCATGTCTATAAACACCATGAAAAGACTCACAGTTTCCTGACTCAGGAATACAATTAGCTGTGGACGTACTTATCTATGTTATCTGTGTACTTATTTATGTTTTATATAAAACATTCACCGCAATTCACTGAGTCCTTTGTATAAATGCTCTATTGTGCTGGCCCTTTGGGTAAAGGGACAAGGCAGAGTTTCCACGCTCAGAGAGTTCAGATCTGATAGGAAAGAGTTAAAAGAATCAATGACAGTGGTGTTTAGAAGTCATTGCATTGCTCACTTTTAAGCAGCTTTATGGGTTGGAAACTTTGAAGAGG